TATTGTTATGTAGGGAGATAAAACAGTGGAAACTCATCATAATTTATAATATGTGTCCAGGATTTTGATAAAACTATGGTAAACCTTGTTAATAGCGAAAGTGGATAACGAATACAGCTGTCCGGTCTTTATAATTCTCTTACCGTTGGTTTCCGAGACCAAAGTCTCTTTGTACATTTTTCGTCAGTATCTTTGATAAAATGACAATATATATTTTAAACGGGGATTTTCGTCTCAGAAACCCACGACTTGAGACCTACGCTCTGGAATAATAATACCACTTTACTAACAGTTTTACCTTTTTTTAGTAAAGGAGCCTGTAGTCCGACAAACTTGTATGGCCCGGTGAAAGATGTACCTTCGCTGTTAAAAAATGTCATGTCATCAATGAAATTGGCATTTAAAAAACCTTAACAGGACAATTATGTACCAACAAAGCTATCAGATCTGGTGGTCATAAATCAAACTAAATTATGACAGACGAACGTCCTCCTTTCAACATCAAAAATGTTAGATGATCCTCATCGTACTGTAGCTGTTATGTCATATTTTTTCATTAATGCCGTTTTCTATAATATGTTCTTGTAGTTTTATATATTTTCTGATAGAACCAACCCCAACTGCATAGCCACCTATGACATTGATAGGGAGGGCTATTGAGATATTGTAACTTAGTGTATCTTATCCCCACCGGGTCAGACAAGTTTGTATGTCTGTAGTGAATTTTACGAGTCTTACATGACTTGGTCCATGCCAAAACGTTTATGTAACGCTGTTGTTTTGTACCAAAGAGATGCTTTGAACGTTTGTGAGTTTAAAATGTTTTTATACGAGAATAGATACAGTTTGATTAAAATATGATAAAAAATTTAAAATTGTATGCATCAAAGGAGTTTACAGTAACTACCACAAAATTGTTTGAATGTCTTTAGAAGTAGAACGAAGAAAAAAAAAGGAGGAGGTAAAAAAGGATCTTATCTATGGAGTATTGGGAACAAGAAATCCCAGAAAAATTGGTCACCTGGTTGTTGCAATCTTTATCGTTGTTAGTTGTTTGCGGGACTTTTTAACTCGAAAGTTGCAATTTTGTATATCGTATTGCCATCTCTTTCATTCTCTTTGAAAAAAAAATGAAAACAATAATAGCAATCAAGAAAGACAGATAAACAGTAGGATTAGGGCCATCGTACACAAGGCAACGTAAACGTTTGATACCTCGCGATTTTTGATTAGAACCAGTTGCTCGCAACCGGATTGCCAAAACCGTGTTGAGGAAAGTCGCTACAATCTTCAAGATGGCGGAACAAAGCTATACAGTTGACATGTAGCCGCTATACCCGTACTCACCGAAGACTGGCGTCGACTGACGATTCAACGTTATGTGTACAGCGGGGTTAGATAAAGTCCATTCGCTTCGAAACGATTCCATAGCGAAATTCAGAAATGTTTTGAACTAACGCGACAATCATGTGACTTATCGAAAGTTATTGTCAGTTCTATACATTTTAGAGAATGCACTTCGTTTAGTCCCGCAGATCGCGCGTAACTCGATACACGCGACACTAAGATACAATATTAGCTTCGAAAACGTTGCTTTGTGTACGATGAGCCTTATGTTATAGCGTTATATGCAAATGAGAGCTACTTACCATTTATATTAAGCTCAATAAAACGAAACCCTTTATTTTATTGGATTAGGTTGAATAATGATAGGATATTAGCATTTGTATTATTTTGTTCTACACAAATGGCTTCTATTTATCTAACGATAAAAAATTGTTACACTATTTAATTAAATTAATTCTGATGGACTAAAGATTTTTATATCACCCAAACTGGCATCATCGCTGGCAAACGAGCGAGCAGCCACCTGAAATCGCTGAAATAGCGAAGTGACCGTTACCCATAGACATACGCAATTGCATATGCGTTGCCTACCTTTAATCGACGGAGGAGAGGATGCACGGAAACTAAATTTTTTCCCTTTCCATGCATCCTCTTATCCGGAAAGTCCACTTCCTATCGTTTCCTTATAAGAAAAACGGTGGGAAGGGAAAGAGGACTAAATTAGGCCTCCGAGACACACACTCATCAGACGAAACGCGGAATTGCTTCCATTTCACGCCTGACTTCTGTGTGGTCGTGGTATTTCACCGGGCGAGCCGGGCTAATTCGTGCGAAGATGTTAAAGCGGGCTCTACCACTGTTAAGAACTCTCAAACGATTAGGTATAACGATATATTTTATGCATAGGCCTTAGAGACCCAGGGTCAGTCTAATTATTTAGTTCCATTAGACGTTATTGTACGCATGCCTTTGGTGATAGTTCTTTGTTTATTTAACGCGCATTATACTTGTCAACTGACGACGATGCTTGCTTTACTTCGACTGATCATTTTAATTAATCGTTAGTCCGTTTGCAGGGATTACGCGTATGTTGTACAACGACCGAGTTATGAAATTGCTCCTTTAGGTTACGGGATGTTAGCTAAAGAGAAACACAGTCTTGACAGACAAACGGACGGACAACAAAATGAACGGTACGGAACCCTAAAAATTGAAGAAATATTGTGGACATAAGATACTCTCATATTATTTAATGTCATATTTTTTTAATCTTAATATCTTAATAGTAATTATAAATGGGAATGTTTAGATTGATGGATGTTTGTTAGAAGGTATCTCCAGAACGGCAGAACGGATCATGATGAAATTTGACATGGATCTAGAACATAGTCTGGAAGAACACATAGGCTACTTATTAAGTATTATTAATTTCGCGCGAATGGAGTCCCAGGCGAACGCTAGTAGTATAAAAATTATCTTTTGTAAAATATGAAATGTCACACAAACGTTGTTATTTCAACTGACATACGATTTAACTTAGTCCGTATAAATGTTGGAATATAAATCATGTTCAGATGACACTTCCAGGACTAGTGTTATAGAACCAAGATTAATGTTTTGTGTTGACAAAAGCTTCTACAAAGCGACTATTACGGGATAGATATAAAAATATCTTGCTATAAACTATACTATCGACCTAGAAATTATTTGACACTGGGTATAAGTTACAATAATTAGCACGTATACACTAAAATATTATAAAGAGGAAAGATTTGTTTGTTTGCATTGAATACACACCGGAGCTATTGAATCGATTTGCAAGATTCTTTCACTGTTAAAAAGCTACACTATCCCAGGGTAACATAGGCTATATTTGCAACTGCAACCCGCGACTCCGTCCGCACGGGATTAAAAAGATAGTAGACAATTCTCGGAGCAATATATATATATATATATATATATATATATATATATATATATATATATATATATAAATATATATATATATATATACATATATATATATATATATATATATATATATATACAACTTCATAAAAATCGGACAAGTTTCGCAGGAGTATGGTAATTAACATTGTGTCACGAGAATTTTATATATATGCATATATTTGTTTTTAATTCCGCGCAAACAAAATCGCGAGCAACTGTATATTAAGTTGTCGCACTAATAAAGTGTGTCTATTTTAGGACAAAATATTGATCCATGTAGTTCTACATAAAAAAGCGCCAAAGGCCTAATGGTTAAGGCTGTGGATTCCCGATCACGAAGTCGGGTTCGAATCCCGCCATTCGACTATTGTCGTAAACCATATCCTAGCACAAGCATAGAGATTAGTTGGAATAGTAAAAGAAATATTAGTATAATATAATAAATTTCCAAAATAAAATTTCCTTATAATACAAAAATAGAATGATCCATTCAGGATATCAGTACACTAAATTGCAAAAGTTTAGGATACTAAATAAAGTTATACGTGCACAATAAAGTATAATAAAAACCAAAACAAGTATATTTGCGGAGGGCGCAAAAGAATGGCGAGCGATCGGGACTATCTAAATAATGTCGTTCGTAAAAATATGTCGGTCATTCGAGGTGCTACGTGAATCAATAAGTGTTTTGAGTATTTTCTCTTCCACTTTTCCTTTTATGTTTCTTCATGTGATAGTTTAGTATCCTATTCAAATATTTTTCTGTCTGACCTTCAAAGCAAAGCATATTGTTGCAAAGGATTGTTTAATCCATCATATGTTTAGATGGATGGATGTTAGAAGGTATCTCCAGAAAGGCTCAATTGACCTCTATTAAATTAAGGCACAGCTGTAGAACACAATCTGAAAGAACACGTAGTTTAGTAATTAGAAAAGGGGGCAAACAGGTAGAATAAACAAGATGATCATGGACATCCGTGGACATCCGTAGCACTAAAGGAACTACATTTTTTGTTATTGAATTTCCACAATTTGCCTAAAATAGGCATTTACAACGTCACCGGGCTTGAGGTGGTCGAGCGCAGATGGCGCTTAGCCTAAACCTCGTTTAAAATTAACTAAGCTCGTGGGCTACCTTAGCTCTGATCATTACCTTATTATAACCGAATTGGGAGCTGTTAGATTGCTTCGGCGGACGCTCCATGGAGTGACTGGGCTCAAGGGCCCAATGGAACTAATTATGCATTGCCAACGTTTATAGAGTATTGTAGATATTAGTCCCGAAACATTAAACACTTTTTTGTTACATTTTATTACTCATTAGCTCGCCTAGCCGAAGTTAATTGGGTCACGGATTACGTCATAATATCAGGTCTATTAATGCACGTAACATATTTATCCGAAACAAATGGTGTTATGTTACACCCTTAATGGATTGTACGAAAAGAGAATGTGACAGGTGACGGGTTAATGTGGCACGTGTTTGTCTGCTCTTTGACTTTCATTTTTATTGGATACAGCATCATCCTGTATATCTTACTTTTTCCTTATTAACATCCGTAAATAAATTTGTTTTGTATAGCGTTCCTAAGATATTGATTCTAATAAAACCAGAGTAGTTTGTGAGGGTTCTAACGAAGGTTTCAAGCTGGTAGAATAGCTTTTATTTGATTAAAATTAATTTGAATATCTTTTGTTTACAGATACAAAATAAATGATAATCAAAAAGAAATGTCGGCCAAAAACCCAGTAGCAGTAAACCCTAAAGAAACACTAGATAAGCACTAAACTGCCATGACATCCGAAGAACCGATCGATGTGGTCACCAAGTCCGAGAAAAAGACAGGAACGAGCTTCCCGAGTCAGAGTTCGGGTGACAATAAAACAGTGAAACACTCGGATGAGAATAAAAAGCGATCGCAGGAACTAATGCGACTTGTATATGAATTACCTGAAGAGATAAGAAAACCAGAAATAAACGTAAACATGTTGAAAGAAAACCCACCGATTACAATACTTGAGATAACTGAACAGAACGGTTGTGAAACAGAACTTGGAAGTGGCACGCAAATTGATAGTGAATATTGTAAAGGATCTAGTCCTGATAATACATACGATGATTATCCAAACGAACTTATAATGCATTGTGATGAATACAAAGAGGTTATAGATAGATCATCTCCGGACGATTGTACAGATGAAGATTTGCTTGAATTGAAGAAAATATTAGAGAACAAACCGAAAGTTTTGGAAAGATATTTAAGGGAATGTGCGTCTTCTGATGAAGTGAATAGGATTCATAATATAACGTCATGCGGTCCATTGTCACCGAGGCCACACCACGAAGCGAGAAGTACTTCAGTGACGTCAGATCTGTTCCAGTTATGGCTGTCGTCATCACCAGTAAAGGTAAGTGATAATTATTAAAACAACATATTATTTGATTGTTGAACTTTGTGATTTACTTTAAACATTTCGTGGAAACAACAGAACATTTGATAGGTATTATGCAACAGTATCCGGAACTCTACTACAGAAGTACTAAAGCATTTACCTCCAACATTAGCGGGGCTTCAGTGGCTCAGGAGTCAAGCACTTGACTTGCAATCTGCAGGTCCTGGGTTCGAATCCCGCCATGTACCAATGTGTTTTTCAATTTCCGATTTACATATGTAAATTTTATCCGATGTTCTTATGGCGTTAGTTCTTGTGGCTTAACTTAGGGTAGGCTCCGAGACCCTCGGTGGGGACATACAGTGAGCTGATGATGAATAGTAGAAGTAAAGTTCCTTAATAAATGCAAGATAATTTTCTTCATAAATAAGTTAATGTGACTGTTTTAGTACACCTCAGACCTAAACAAGATAGAATCCAAAAGTAGAAAAGTGATGACGTCTTTAATTTACATTTTCCTAATATTATAAATGAGGAAGTATAGATGTCTGAATGTTTGAAGGTATATCCAGAACAGCTGCATGTAACTCGCTGAAATTTGGCATGTAGAAAATAGTCCAGAAAAACACATAGGCTACTGATATTATTGATTCCACACGAACGAAGTCGTGTGCGTCAGCTAGTTTTTAGACTTGTTCGATATAGTTCAGTGTTGATATTCATTATGTTTATGAGCGTTGCTAGCGACTATATGATAACTTATCAAAACGGTTTTTCATATTCAAGTGTACGATCTGATAATAAGTTAAAAGCCACTCGAGGACTCTCAGTTTGTCTTGCGTCACTGTTACAAAAGTAATCGATTGCAAAATAAATATCGATATTGCCAAAATGGATAAATATTATTTACTAAAAAGAATATTGTACTTATTTTATTTAAATTGTAGGCGAAACTATTGTATTTTAGAAATTTAAACCCACATCGTATAAACGTAAACATATCCACCGCTAGTTTAGTCTCTATCGTTTTTTTAAAATAAATAAGGGATTTTTAGTTTTTATTATTTATTGATCTACGTCAATTTTTAGTCTTAATTGTTTGACTTATTTTCTAAAATAGTGAGATAACAGTACAATGATAGACATACGATTAACTACGAGAATTTTAAAAGATTCAAAGAAATAGCAAATTAAAAGAAGTTTAAAAATATTTCTAACCTAACCTAACCTAACTCGTAGGAGTTAGGTTAGAACACATACCTACCGCTGTCTACGAACATTTGCAATTACAGATGCGTTGCCTACTTTAATCAACAAATGCACAGTATTACAATATTTCCCCCTCCTCTGCCAAACCCACTTCCTCTTTTCATGTGGAAAGGGACCATGGAATAAGACTAGGATTCCAGCTCCTGACTCCTAAGGTCGCACTCCTCGAACAGCGGTCACTCAGCCATATCAGCGTATTCAGGTGGCCGCTCGTTGATTTGCCAAATAATGGTATAAAAACCTTCCCTAATAAAATTGTATTAAATGTAAAACATTTTAAACTCTTTCATAATCTAGCTGTCGCCTGCGACTTTGTCCGCACGGAATTAAAGAAAACATAATCAGTAGCCTATGTGTACTTCCAGACTATGTTTTACATGCATGGCGTTTTATCGAGATTCATTCAGCCGTTTTGGAGATACCTTCAAACATCCATCCATCTAAACATTAGCATTTATAATAGTAAGATTAGTAATTTCTAAGATTATAGCAAACAAACTGATTAGCTTTTGTTTATTTGAATAGAACTCATAGACTAATTTGCTAATAAATTTAGTCCATTTGCTCGACAATGGAGCGATAAATAACAGGTCATTGGTTTTATTTGTTTGTTGTAATTACAAGCCGCAAACACTAATCGAACTGTACACGACAGGAGCGTCGACCTGGATCCAATTTGCTATTCATTTACAAATAAATACTTAAATAACATTAACGGAGAAAAATTTGAAAAAATGTTTGAATATTAGCTGTCGCCCGCGACTCCTTCTGCGCGGAATTATAAAAAAACTTAGTAGCCTATGTGTTCTTCCAGACTATGTACTACATGTATGCCAAATTACAGCGAGATCCGTTTATCCGTTCCGGAGATAACTTCAAACAAACAAGCATCCATCCGTCCAATTAATATATATATTATATATATGTATATATATATATCCTAACTTAGCTGTAGTTGATATCATTTATGGACAATAAAAGCGTAACATAATATAAATGCGAATATTTAGATGGATGTTTGTTTGTAGATATCTCCGAAACGGCTCACTGGATCTTCATGAAAATTGGCACAGATGTAGAACACAGTCTGGGAAGAAGACGTAGGCTACTCCTTAAGTTTTTTTTTAATTCCGCGCAGACGAAGTCGCGAGCGACAGCTAGTTATTCAATATTAATGAACCAACATGAATATAAACTAGATGTTGAGTTAGTAATTAGTAACGTAGGCGTCTAACAGCTTTGACTAATTCGCCAATGAATTTTGCCGACAAAGTGACTAATTGTCTATCGTTAATCCTAGTGCTCTATTATTAATGGTACTGCGTATTATTTACTCTATGTCGTAGCAAGTGGATGTGTTTATGCAATAGCAAATATACACCGACAAGGCTATGTGTTCCGGTGGGCGTAAGTCAAATTAAATTATAACACACTAGCGCCACTCTGTCAACGTTAAGAAATGTCAAAGTACCTTTTTGTACTGTAGGTGTCATGTAATTTTATGTGTCTAAGAAGGTTTTATATATATTTTGACAGATCATAACGCGATAGTAGCGCCTTTCAACGGTTCTGATATTATTATCTTACTCATATTGTAAATGCGAATGTTTGGATACACGGATGGATGTTTGTTAGAAGGTATCTTCAGAACAGCTGGATATATTTCGCTGAAATTTGGCATAGATGTAGAACATAGCCTGGAAGACAACACATAGGCTACTCATTAATTTTGTAATCATTAATGTTGTGTGTAAATTTATCACTGCAAAACGTCAAAATGTGAGTGTTTAGTAATAAAGGATATAAGTAAGTGTAGAGAAAAAATACATAAATGTAACTCAATATGATTGGTAAGGGTAGGGTAGAGATATAGGAAAGGAAAAAGAGATGAGGAAATGATAACAAGACAAGCAAAAACTACGGCTAATGATAATAAGGTTAAAAAAAGAGAAAAATTGTAAAAAAATTAGTAAAAAGCAAAGCCACGGCTTTTGAATACGACTTTTCGAATCATTTTCCTCCAATGTCTGTAATCCGAGGGCATGAAGTGAAGTTGTTAACGATTCGCGAGTTTGCTTCTCTCTCGTTTTCAGTGGTCTTTTACACTAGGGTTGTCTAATATTTTTTTCCGATTTTTTTTACAAAATTATGATCTTCAGAATTGAGAAATATTATAAACATAGTTTATTTATGGAACCTACTTATATTTATAGAAGTAAATAGCGTGCTGTATTAATGTTTTCAGGCATGCATAATATATGAGTGCAACGTCGCGAGAAAACTGTTTCAGGGCTGTGTCTGGTGAATCTCGAACAATAGGTTATATAGTTGTATTTTTTTCACTAGATAGATTCTTTTTTTATTTTACTATTGAAAATCTTCGTTAACTAATATATAACCACAATTTAACCGCAGTAAAGTAATATTAAAAAATCTAACTTCAAATAGAAATAACATAACCTATGATATGCGAATTTAATAATCTAAGTGTAAAAAGTATAAGTGGCATCCCTAAAAATACCTTTTAAAGTATTTCAGGTTAAGCTTTTAATTACAGACCAACCCTTAGCGCTTACCCTGCACGTTCCGGAATGGTCTATTAATAAAATATGAATACGTAGCTTCATAAGTATGTAGGTAGCAAATAAAACACGGTCAACGTAGACTTAGGCTGTTGTACACGAGGTAAAGTAATTATCGAAACTAATATTGTAATATGAGTCTCGAGTATCGTGATACGCGCTCTCCGTATACAAAGTATCGTCGACGCACGTCTTCTGTTAGGTAAAGGCATAACGTCTAAATGTCAACTGTTTAGATTTACTTCGCCATCTCCAAAATCACGATGTCTTTCCCGACGATCTTGACAATTTTGCGAGCGACTGCGTTTTGGCGACGAAAAAACGGAGCTCAACGACACTTCATGCGTAAGTCGCTTAGCAACTTAAATCGCCGGGTTTCCGAGATTCACAGTTTGATAGAAAAAATTCTTAAACTTAGACAACTCCAAATGATATGTCACTGACTGTTTGTAAACTTCGACAATTATTAAACAGACTAGCTATTATTATAAAAAACTGATAGAAGTTATAAATTATACATTTTGACGAATCATAACGAATCGATCATTGACCAACTTGTATAATAACTATGTTCTATCCCTCTCATTCTCTTAAATAAAAACAGAGATAGCGATATAATTAAGTACTGTTGTTTCATCAGCGAAAACCAACGTGAAATGTATATCGTGTTGTTAAAATAACTTTGTTTTAAATTCTGAATATTCGTATTCCAGATAAATGTTAGAGGTCAGGTAAGCTTTTAGGCATTTCCAATCAAAATAAGTGCTTCTTTATACAGTTGAATATAGATATTAACTGAAATATTCAAAGAGAATCTTTTACGTAATACTTACGGCTGAAGTCAGTATCCGATCTTTGAGATCTATTCGAATTATTTTATTTATTATGTGTGAAACAGAACACCATAGATTATTAGATTGCGATTGAGCTTTTGCCATTTTAAGTCTTCGTAAAATTTTACTAATATTATAAGCTAGCTGTCACCCTCAACTCCGACTAGAATTAAAAAAATACTAAATAAGTATCGTATGTGTTCTTCCAGACTATGTTCTACATTTGTGCAAAATTACAGCGAGATCCATGCACCCGTTCCGGAGATACTTTCAAAGAATCCATCCATCTAAACATCGCATTTATAAGATTAGTAAGATGAGAATGTTAAGT